AACGAACAACTTGTGCTCATGCAGCTTCCACCCAGTGCAGAAACACTAATTAAAAGAAAAACACATAAAAAGTTGAAAAGAGAAAAGAAAAAAGAAAACCTGTAATATTTTTATAGTACACATCCATACCTTTTCTATATGGTTATTTCTTTTTAGGCATTCTATTGTCAAAATTTACCTCTTAACGTCTTAAAATTTGACCTTTATTTTGTATGTATTAGTGCCCTTATATATATATATATATATATATATATATATATATATATATATATATATATTATTTATATATATATATTATATATATGTATTATTGATTTTTTTACAGAGAGGAAGAGAGAGAGAAAGAGAGCTAGAAACATCGATGAGAGAGAAACATCAATCAGCTGCCTCTTGTACACTCCCTACTGGGAATGTACCCGCAACCAAGGTATATGCCCTTTAATGGAATCAAACCTGGGACCTTTCAATCTGCAGGCCGAAGCTCTATCTACTGAGCCAAACTTGTTAGGGCTAATGCCCTAATTTTTAATTAATCAGCTTACATTAGTGACTAATAAAAGTATGGTATAGCCGAAACCGGTTTGGCTCAGTGGATATAGTGTCGGCCTGGGGACTGAAAGGTCCCAGGTTCGATTCCATTAAAGGGCATGTACCTTGGTTGCTGGTACATTCCCAGTAGGGAGTGTACAAGAGGCAGCTGATCGATGATTCTCTCTCATAGATGTTTCTAACTCTCTATCCTTCTCTCTTCCTCTCTGTAAAAAATCAATGAAATATATTATATATAAAAAAAAGTATGGTATAGCTTGTCAGTTTAAAACAAGTCAAAGTGATTTAAAATAGCATACTTGGGAGAATATATATCATTGGGGAAAATATTGAGCTCTGTGCATACATTATAGCAAAATAACAGCATTTTCATAGAATTTAGATATAGATTTACTTGTTGCAAATCTCATAATTCTTTTCAGCAGTTCATCTCTTCTCATTTTAATGTTCCTATTGTATTTGTCTACTGAATTAATATCCCATCACCTTTGACTTTCCCCTCCCAATATTGATTCTGTATATCATTTCTTTTGTATATATTTGTCTATTGTTCACTGACAATATTGCTGAACAATATACTAATGTATTATCAGTGAGCAACAGAGAAATAGATATAAATATATATTTGTGTATATATTTATTTCTTCTATAATTAATGTAATAATTTCCAGTATGAACCCTTCTGTCTGCCAATTACAGTATTCTGGAGCCTCTGCTTCCTGTTCATGCCTCTTAAAGCAGTCCCTAAGTGTGTTTTCTTTTCTTTCTTTTTTAAAATATATTTTATTGATTTTTTAATAGAAAGGAAGGGAGAGAGAGTTAGAAACATTGATGAGAGAGAAACATCAATCAGCTGCCTCCTGCACACCCCCTCCTAGGGGTGTGCCCACTTCCAAGGTAAGAAACTTTGACAGAAATCAAATCTGGGACCCTTGAGTCTGTAGGCTGACACTCTATCCACTGAGCCAAACCAGTTAGGGCATGTTTTCTTTAATCAAACTCTTTTTATGGCTTACTATTACCTACTGAAGATTGCCCAGGTTCCTTTATTCAGCATTTACAGTAAGGTTGTCTGCATTTTCTTTCAAGGTCCCAACATGCTTTTCAACCTTATCTTTCCACTCATTGATTCCAAAGGATTCTTTGAGCACCTCTGTAGTTTGATCTGTGATTTGGCTTGTGATACAAAACTTAGCAAGTCACAGCCCTGCTCTTCAGCAGCCCTTAGTTTCACGGGTTTTGTGTGTAGAGGTGAAGGGACAAGTATATGAGTAGCCCATCATATGTTAGGAGTGGGAGTGATGGAAACTTCCCAGAGACGATTGGACTAAAAAAAATACTGCTATTTTGCTGATCAGGCTTCATCAATGTAGATTAAATTAGTTTGTTACTAAAACATGGACCACTCTTGTCAATACTCTAACTTTTTTCATGATGTTTCCTCTCTTTAGAATGTCTCCGCTTTTCTATATACCCCAAATATATCTGGTCCTCCAAGACTAGATTAGATGCCAAATAATCCATGAAGTTTTCTCAATATCGTTAGTCTCAATAACTCCCATTTAAATTTTCTGGCATTTCTAACCACATACTTGTTTGTATTAGAGATTATTTAAAAGTATTGTCTCTCTCTTTTTTGTTTTTTGTTGTTAATTCTCACTCAAGGGTATTTTTTTTCATTGGTTTCCTTTTTTAGAGATACTGGAAGGGGAGGGCAGTACGAAAAGAGAGAGAGGCCAGGGATCAATGGAACCTGCAACCCAGCTAGGTGCCCTTGACCAGAAAATCAAACCCGAGACCCTTCAGTGCCAGGGTTAATGCTATAAAATTGAGCCACACCAGCTAGGGCTTATTTCTCTGTACTATAAGCTGCCTGCCTCCCTAAGAACAGAAACTATGATATATATATATATATATATATATATATATATATATATATATATATATACAAAAACCTCCACAAAATAGACATTTAGTGAATGTTGACCAAGCTAAAATAATAGGGCAGATATAGTACCAAATGCAATTGTAAAATAGAATGAGGGCATTAATGATACAAATTGATCCCCACCCATTTGCAGTAAGACTACCACACTATTTACTGTAAAAATTAGCGACAGCAGAGCTACCACTATCAGACGAGGACCCTCGGGCTTGAAGGGGTTAAACGGTTCTATCCATAAGGGGGGAGAAATGTTCTTTGTTTGCCTTCATTAAAGACTAATTTTAGATCTTTTGATAACTAAATGAACACACTGTTTGTGCTCCATACACTTTCTGCCCTGGGTCTTGGAAAATACAAGAAATTTCCAAGAATTAAAGTTTCCATTAAGACAAGTGCCAAACCAGGAGGCTTGACCTGCGGAGGAAGCCATTTGTCTTTGCTGGCTCCTTCTCAAAAAGCTATAGGAACGTATTTAATGTATAACCTTTCTCCTGCACAATTGTCCTGTTTGACCATTCAGACCATCGCGACAATATGGAGAAGCTGCAGCATTTCAGAAAGCAACCAAGTACTGAGGAGGGACCGTTTGAGTTTGAGTGCTGACAGTGGTCCCTGTTTGGGGTAAAATTTCTCACTGGAAGGCACTCAAGTGTTTTGTTTGTTTTATTATTATTTCTTCTACTTGGTGTGTGTGTGTGTGTGTGTGTGTGTGTGTGTGTGTGTGTGTGTGTGTGCGATTTCCTGAGAGCTAGATGATTTGGCTGGTGAAGACATAGTTTGCTATGATGGTTTTCAGAACCTCTTCCACCTAGACGGAAATTTACTATCAATTAAATGTGTGCGTTCACAGCTCACAAGCCTCCAAAGGCTACTTCTCTTATCTCTATATCTGATCTTATTCAACCTTAAGCAGTCCAGTTATTCGCCAACGTTACAAAAGCCTCTTTGCGTCAGGGAACTTAGCCTCATAAAGTTCTCTCCCCCGAGCAGGGAGCCTTTTAAAGAAGAGCGTGTCAGGCCGCGCGGCAAGGGTCAGAGCTACTGGAAAATGAGCCGCTCTGCAGGTCCCGCCCTCCTACCTTTGTCCCTCCCCCCGGCCTGCTCCCCACCTCCCCCGGAGGCGCCCCCCGCCACCGCCCCACCGCCTCCCCGGCCCCCTATGCCACCACCGCGGCGGCCTCCGAGGTCTGGCGCGCGTCAGAGCCCCCACGGGGAGGCTGGTTTGTGGAGCATCATCCCCCCGAGCTCCTCTCCCCTCCCTCCCCCCCAGCCCCTCCTCCGCCCAGGCGGGGGCCAAGGGAGCAGAGCCCGGAGCAGGGGGAGGGGAAGATCTACACCCATCCCCCTTCCCCAGCCCTTTCCGCGTCCAGATGCAATTGCACCTTTTATTATTTTAACTTTTCTTCCCAAGACACGCGCCCCGGGACCTGTCCCTCCGGCGGCCGCGGCGATCCCGGCTGTGGCGCGCGGGGATGGGAGCGCGAGGGACCTGCCCGCGGTCCGCCGGCGCCCGCGGGGAGGGGCGGCCGCCGCGCCCGCTGCCGCGCCGAGCCTGTAAGTTTCCCCGCTCCGTCCCGGGGGCGCGCCGGGAGGCGGTCTGCGGAAAAGATTGAAAATGCAAAAACCCAGCCGAGATTCGCGGTGCGGGGTGGACTCTGCTGCGGGGCACACTTTCAGCTCTTATCTGCAAGCCCGCGCGGGCTAGGTTCCGGGTTTTCCGTGCAGCTTGTATGTGTTTGCTTCCTTCGCCGCAAAGAAGTTTTCAATCTATAATATCAGGAGTGTCCGTGGGGGGAGAGGAGAGGGGGGTATGTTTAAATGCAACTCCTTCTTCTTTCAGATGTAAAAGGCTTGTCCGTCATGTTCCCGTGCACGGCACAGCGCTCGTGATTTTGTCCAGGGGCACGGAGCGTTATTTGCACTGCGCCAGAGACCACGGCCTCTTCTTCGCCCGTTTCTAAAAATAACGAGGGAAGAATTTCCCCCCTCTCCACTTTTTTTATGTCGCTCGATCGTGTAAATACTTGAGTCGATAGACCGCGATGCCCATCTGGCCTTAATTTTCGCTCCAGACGCCGCCACGTGCTTGCATGCATGAGCTAATCTACAGAAGTGGTGCATCTCCGAGGTTGCTCATTGAACCTGCTGTGCACAGCCTCCGCGTTTTGCTTCAGTAGGATTATACCCATCCGTGTTCCAAAGCATAAGGGCTATCGAAAGAGTTCTGCTGCGAACCAACTCATGTTCCTGGGATTCCCAGAAGTGAAGCCCAAACTAAGTCCGTGTGAAGATTAATAAAATCCTACCGTTAGCTTTGCATGTCGCTTCCAAGTGCATAGACAGAGCCCTACATGCAAGGATTGAAGAGGCGAGGAAGGGGTGTGGGGTGTGTATGTGTTGGGGGGAAAGGGAGGTTGCGTGTTTTTAATCATCGTTTCCCTTTGCAGGAGGACGGGAGAGAGGCAGATCCGAGGCAGGTGGCTAGGCTGGCGATGGTGACAGGACCATGCTGGCCAGAAAGAGCATCATCCCGGAGGAGTATGTGCTGGCGCGCATCGCGGCGGAGAACCTGCGCAAGCCGCGCATCCGAGACCGCCTGGCCAAGGCCCGCTTCATCGCCAAGAGCGGGGCCTGCAACCTGGCGCACAAGAACATCCGCGAGCAGGGCCGCTTCCTCCAGGACATCTTCACCACCTTGGTGGACCTGAAATGGCGCCACACGCTGGTCATCTTCACCATGTCGTTCCTCTGCAGCTGGCTGCTCTTCGCCATCATGTGGTGGCTGGTGGCCTTTGCCCACGGGGACATCTATGCTTACATGGAGAAGAGCGGGATGGAGAAGAGTGGCGTGGACTCCGCTGTGTGTGTGACTAATGTCAGGTAAGAATGCCGTGGGGTGAAACAGGGGTCAAAAAAAGTATAGAAAAAAAAATATATATATATGGAACTGCTCTCTTCTCACTCCAGTTTGTTGACAGTAAAATAAAGGATTTGCTTTAGTACCTTCAGAAGCAACAAAGTTAATCTAACATATTAAAAAAATCTTTGTTCAATGTGACTTTCTGGATGAGGGATCTCTGAAAATGTTCCGCTCCAATCCCATGGGCTAGCCTTGAAAATCCTAGGCCAATTATTAAAAAATAATTGTGGCTCAAAGGATTCTACAGAGTGCCTTACTACTACTACTGTTACTACTACTACTACTACTACTACTACTAATAATAATAATAATAATAAAGCACATACTTAGTTTTCAGTCTGAAAAAGCTGCTGTCCATATTTCCAGTGTTCACAAGTAGATATCTTTGAATCAGAAAAAGATATTGTGCAAATGCTAGTAATATATTTCCATGACTTCTCTCACCCATGACATTTTCTGAAATAATGAGAAAAATGGGAAGACACTGGTGGAGAGGTGTCCTCGATTTGAAATCCATAAAATGAACTGAATAAATATAAACCCATCTTTAACAAGAGTGTTTTAAATAGCTGATTGCTTGCATTGAATTCCAAAATGAAAAGTTATGCTAAGATTCAGAACTATAAGGTATTCATTTTAAATGGAAGTTAGTCCAATGTTTTCATGGAAGAGATTATGTAGAAGTGACTTCATGTTGTGGTTTTCTTCAAAAGTTTTAATAAGATAAAAGACACTTTTTAGATTGCCTAATTTTTGCTTCTTTCTCTTATAAGTATTTCAAAGATAAGACCAGGGAACTTGATTTCAGTGAATCTTCTCTCATATTTTCACATGGCCTAAGGACATTTAGTTGGGATGACTTATCACTTAGTTTTGTTTTGTTGTTGTTGTTGTTGTTGTTGGGAGATGGAAAGAAATAATTTATATCACTTTCAAAAAATGTACATTCTGAAGCAAAACACTAATAGTAATAGTAGAAACTTTCCCAGGACACTTTATGAATGATATTTCGAATTCATATAATGCATCAAGCAAAGCAACTTGAGCAAGCACTATTCTGCCAGGAAACTGTAAAGAATGAGACCTTTCTTTACTGACCCTGACGTCTTAGGAAACTGGCATACCAATGCAAGAAGCAGAGACCTAGACTCTGGGCTTGCCATCCTCCCTTTTCCTGAGTGTCTGCAATGCCAGCATGCCAAGGAGGGATTTGTGTGCAGAGATCACATTCCACATATTCCAGCTTGGATTTTGAGGAAAGAAAACTGCATGGAATTGATTAATTGCCTTTACCATTGAGTAGATATTTTCTTGCCTTAAACTTGTCAAAAACTTGTCTCAAGTAAAAAATAAAGGTGAAAATATATAGGAGATCATCAGTACACCAGATATAAAGGAAATACTGAAAATACTGTGTTTAACAGGTATCTTAAATATCATTATCTGTATTTCTCTTTAAGATATTTATTGGCATTTATATTGGTGAATCGTTTTCATATTAGGGGACCTTTTTAATAAATATGCAGTAGGCACTCAAAAAAGATAAAAAAGTAAAAATGGTAAACCTTGACATATTTTATTTATGAGATAAATATATTGGCTTTTCTTTTTTTTTTTTTTAAAGGAGTCATTAAGCAATTGGGGGAATCATCAAAAGTGATAGCTTTTCAATGATTTTTTTTTGAGAACTTTATAGAGCACACTAGTTGCGAGAAGCTTTTTCACTCTAGCTCTTATTTTCCAACAAGAAGTGTTTTGAAGCATGACTATTCCCCTGATGTATTCCTGCTGGTGTGAATGTTAAGTATGAGAAATGGTGTAAAAAATATAGTGAGACAAAGTTGATTTTATCAGCATAATATTGTTAGCCTTTTAAATTGCCCTTTTATCTAAAAAAATTTTTGACATCTTTAAGGTTAAGATCTTACAAGTGTTATGCTATTGATACTTTACTCTCAACACACAGTTTAATCATAACAAACCATATATAATAACAAATTTTTACCCAAAATATAGAAACAGAAAAATTTCTATTCTCTCCCAAAGAGGGTTTAAAAGATGACTAATAACATTTATAATTCTTTGCATTTCCTGTCTCTTATAAGCCCATTTTCTTACCATATCATCATAATTGGAAACAACTTATTGTGATGCATACTCGCTGGTATGTCCAAATAACATTTTACCATTTCCGTTTTAGAATGGCTCACTTTCCCTTTTATATGGGACAGCTCTCTGACATGAGTCAGGAAATTAATCAGCATATTTCCTCTATTATTCAGCCTAACATCCTCTGCTGTAGAACAAACAAGCAGCTAAATACTTTCATCTCTTGAGGTTGTTTAGCTGCATGACAGGTGTCCATGAAAGGCTGGGTCTTGCACTATGTAATGTTTAGAATTAAATTATTTTGTAAAATAAGCAGTAAACATTATTAGCCCCTGAATAGCCTCACAAGCCATAATAACCAAACATTTAAAGATAGTCACCATAAGGCTGCTCTTTGAAGTGTGTACATATTATTAGAAATCAATATTGTGCCCATGTCCCTCCTCTGAGGTCCATTCTTATCTGTTCCATCTTTTTATTTATTTATTTTTATTATTATTAACATATATTTTTTTTTATTGATTTCAGAGAGGAAGGGAGAGGGAGAGAGAGAGAAAAACATCAATGATGAAAATCACTGACTGGCTGCCTCCTGCACGCCCTCCACACTTGAGTATTGAGCCAGCAACCAGGCCATGTGCTCTGACTGGGAATCAAACCACAACCACTAAACCATGCCAGGCTGTTGCCATCTTTTTAGATCATATAATATGTTTTGTGTGCAATTAGTGGGAAAGGCAACTACTGTGGTTTTCCATGAATCTTTTTAGTAACAAAAAGGATGAAAAGGGAAATTTGCATGTTCCACCTAAAAGCTATAATAATAGAAAGAATCCTCATGATGCCCCACCAAAGTGCAGTGTAGATACACAGCATTCAAATGCTTAAACATTTTGCTCACTCTTTGTGTGTGGAAGCAGCAGATAGATAATACTTTGACAGGAGGCTTATCTTCTATAAAATTAGAGAAGTTTGAAATTGGAGTTGAGGGAAACACAGGGCTAACATTATTTCTAATAGGAAGCTACAGCAGTAATGGATATGCAGTTAAGTGAATAAATTAATGATAAGAATAATGAAATGCAGTGCTTCTAACCAGGGGGATAAATCAGCATCACCTGAGAGCTTTTTTTTTAAGAGTCTTACCCAGGTCCACTCTAAACCTACCAAATCGGTGTTTAATTCATAGAGATCCAGAAGAAATACCCACTTTGCAAAAGCTCCCCTAGAAAATCCTGACTCTTGTTGATCCCTTCCCTTTGCCCTTTCAAAGCACGAGGCCAGAATTGAGAGGATTCGAGTTGTTATTAATTCTGTGATCTTGATACAGTCATTTGCTCATCTCTGCTTTGAATTCTCCCTTTAATAGCTTTAGTGTTCTCTAGATCATGTACAGAACAAAATAAGAAAATCAGTAAGAACACATTTTTCTTGCCAAATGGCAAAACATTCTTTTGAATTGAAAACAGTAGTTTTTAAAATACTAGTGTTTCGCACCACTTTTTAGCACCGCGCTTCCTGTATATGAGGAACACACCGTAAGTGTTAGCTAGTGACTATGAGTCAAAGGCAGTGAGTGATAAGTACACTCACTACTCAGTACCTTCCTTAATACTCGAGTCACTTAAGCACAGCCATGCAATAAAGAATAAACATCTACCTGGTAAAAAAAAATTTCACAAAGTAAACTATGCCTTTGTGAAAGTACATTATTTCACAAACTAAAATATTCCTACAAACATGTATTTTTACTATATTAAAGCTTTCGTAGGCAGATTACTACATGACCTAGAAAACATTGTAGTATCGTATCCTAGAAGTCTGGAAGTAGATGTATGCAGAAAAGAGAGAGAACACAAGTGCTTGTGTTTAGAATCAAGCATTTGACAAGTGAAGTTGGCTCATCTTTCCATAGGCATGTAACAGCCTTTGGCGGAAGAAAATGACAAATTCAGTTTGGACCTTTGTCCTTTAAAAACAATGACATATATAGCTTGGTATGTTATTTCACTATTCCAAATTTGGTCTGATGGGGCATTATTTCCTGATATTATTTCTTACAGGTCCTTTGCCTCTGCTTTTCTCTTCTCCATTGAGGTTCAAGTGACCATTGGGTTTGGAGGGAGAATGATGACAGAGGAATGCCCTCTGGCCATCACAGTTCTGATTCTGCAGAACATCGTGGGCTTGATCATCAATGCCGTCATGCTGGGCTGCATTTTCATGAAAACGGCTCAGGCTCACAGGAGGGCAGAAACTCTGATATTCAGTCGCCATGCTGTGATTGCGGTCCGCAATGGCAAGCTGTGCTTCATGTTCCGAGTGGGCGACCTGAGGAAGAGCATGATCATCAGCGCCTCGGTGCGCATCCAGGTGGTCAAGAAGACCACCACCCCGGAGGGGGAGGTGGTGCCCATTCACCAGCTCGACATTCCTGTGGATAACCCTATTGAGAGCAATAACATTTTCCTAGTGGCCCCTTTGATAATCTGCCATGTGATTGACAAGCGCAGCCCCTTGTATGAAATCTCAGCCACGGACTTGGCCAATCAAGACCTGGAGGTCATAGTGATTCTGGAAGGAGTGGTGGAGACCACCGGCATCACCACGCAAGCCAGAACCTCCTACATCGCCGAGGAGATCCAGTGGGGCCATCGCTTTGTGTCTATTGTAACGGAGGAGGAAGGAGTGTATTCTGTGGATTACTCCAAGTTTGGCAACACTGTGAAAGTAGCTGCTCCCCGGTGCAGCGCCCGAGAGCTGGACGAGAAGCCTTCCATCCTCATCCAGACCCTGCAGAAGAGTGAACTGTCCCATCAGAATTCCCTGAGGAAGCGCAATTCCATGAGAAGAAATAATTCCATGAGGAGGAACAACTCTATCCGGAGGAACAACTCGTCCCTCATCGTGCCAAAGGTGCAGTTTATGACTCCAGAAGGAAATCAAAGCACACCAGAGTCATGACAGCAAGATGGCCCTCAAGTGTGGACTCTGTAGGCAGGGCACTACCAGACTGTACATCTTAATGCACTAAATGATATTCATATTCAAACAACAGCACTTTCTTTTAGCAACAAAGCAGTAACGCACAAGGGGGAGGATTTGTGGCTCATACTTGTTTCACACATGCAATATGTGCAGTTATGTGTTGAGAATAGGATGCTCTCATTTCCCCTCTGTCTGAAACACGATCACATTAATAGGAATGGACCTTAAATATAGAAGGTGGCCAAGGAAGGATTCTGTTTGAACGCTTAGTGGATGAACCCACTGTTGTTCACTCTGGAAATACAAATAGCATAGGAGGGGGAGGGAAAGCTAAAATTGTATTAACATCTTTTGTATATCAACCACTATGTTGCCTTTTCCTTTCCCATGACACTGCACCTGGTAAAAAGCACGAGGCAAAAACTGCTGAGCTCTATCTGTTCACCCACTTGCCCTTCACAATGACCTCTGGAGATTTCCTGGTTCCTCATGGCAGCCTGTTGGCAGAACTGGAACAAGCTTAGGAGAAAAGCTGAGAACATTCCCGTCTCATTTTAAGATTGGATTCCCAACAATGATACTCATTTCCTTCACTTTCTCACTTCTGCATAAGAATCCCCACAGGGAAATGTTGTATTGAATATTTTATTAAAATATTTTCTTTGTATTCTCTGTGGTTTTGTGATTCTCCTTTTACAAAATTATCCCTGGTTTAATCTCAAGGAAAAACAATACATTTTTAGAGGCATGGGAAAGAGATAGCATATGGTGATAACACCTCTAAGATCGATCTCTATCTATCTACCTATCTATCTATCTCTCTATCTCTATATCTTCTAGAGATTGTTCTCTTAAGAAAACTATGCTTTTTGTTTTATTTTTATTTCATTTCATCCCAAGTTTTAAAATGTTCTCTAGGCTTTCTATCTGAACCTTATGTGTCATAGAAATTCTCGTAACTTTTTGACTCTCCCATCTCCCCATCTTAAAACTACACATTACTTCCCAAAAAGATCTGAATTCAAGGCTGGCATATATAAATTTAGCTTTACCTCAATTGCTAATGTGATATTTCCTGTCAAAGTTCTAGTAAATCATCTTTAGCTCCTGCATCTTCCAGGGAGGGACAGGGGCCCAGAGAAAGGTACTAGGCCAATAAACTATGGGTTTATTCTTAATTTGTGTATTCCACATGAGCAAACATCAGAAAACCGAGCTCTTGAGTAGCTTTTTATGCATATTTTTTATTTTGTATTTTACTTCATTTATGGACATTGAAACAGGAGAGACATGACACTGAATCAAACATATATTCAAACCCTGTCTTAAAAGACTTGTTATAATCCAAGGAATGGAAATTATCAGTTTACTGAATTCGTCATTTCTGAATATTTCTAACCATTCTGGTTGCCTCCTGCATGCCTTCTACACTGACTTATACATCAAACAGGTATCAGAAACCCCATTTGAATATCTAACACTCATCTAGAACGTATGGTGTCTAAACCAAATGCTTCCTTTTCAGTAACAAAGCCTTCCTCCAGTCACTCAGGCCAAGATCTGGCAGTCATTCATGACACCTTTCGTACCTCACATGCCATTTTTTAGCAAAACCTGTTAGGTCTACCTTCAAAATATACCCAGTGCATGACCTGTTCTCTCTACTTCTGCCATTTCCCAGCTGGGTGCTCACCACCCAGAACAGATGAATGCAACTGTATCAATTCTTAAAATATTGAAGCACTTCCGTATGGTTACTAAAGAAAAGTCTATTTTAGCCGAGGCCGGTTTGGCTCAGTGGATAGAGCGTCGGCTTGAGGACTGAAGGGTCCCGGGTTCGATTCCGGTCAAGGGCATGTACCTTGGTTGCAGGCACATTCCCAGTAGGGGGTGTGCAAGGGGCAGCTGATCGATGACTCTCTCTCATCGATGTTTCTAACTTGCTATCTCTCTCCCTTCCTCTCTGTACAAAATCAATAAAATATACTTTTTTTAAAAAAAGAAAAGCCTATTTTAATAAAACTTCCCCCAACAGTGACTACAGGGGGCTGGGCGTCAGACCCCTGAGTTCTGGGACAGATGTAGGTCTTCCACTCCCACCCCTGGGCAGCTGAGCAGTCCTGTAAGGCAGCTGCCACACCGGCAATAAGAGTGTGTGCAAGTGCCTGCCTGCTGCTCAGTGGCAGCCCATTTGTGGGGGTGACCCAGGCTGCAGGACAGGCAATGTTGGGACATAGTTAGTGGGGCTGAGATGAAGGATTTCTGAGTCCAGGCGGTACAGAATGCCTGGGCACCCAAGTGCAAATCTAGCTATAGAACCTGGGCAGTTCCCCAGCCACCTTCCAGATGCAACCAAATGCGGGGTGCCAAGGGCCTGAGGATTATCCATGTAATGAGACAGTCAGTGGGAGAGTTTGATGGGCCTCTTATGTGAAGGATATCTCAGACAGGGACATTATTTAGCTAGTGGTAGCCACATCAAACGAAAGATCACATCGACAGTTGCTCAACACCTACAAATGTTTTATTAGAGTATTGCTATGATTTGTAACATTTTTTTGCTAAAATATATTTAACTGGCTAAGCATATTTAGGAACTATGTAGTTTAGTTTTAGAAAATAAGATTCTAATAGGTGTGTGTATCATTTTGACACATTGAATTATATTAGATATTTAGCTTCTCTGCTTCCAGCTTAATCTTCATCCAGCAGCCACAATAGTTCTTATTAAATTGATTGTGATAACATTGGCTAATAAAGTCACATGTTTTTCAAGTGTATAATTCTAGAGTACATCATAAATCACATTGTTCTGTTTAACACCCTCTAATGGCTTTCCATTTTTCTAAAAATGAGAACCAAAATCCTTCCCAAGGCCCAGAAATCACTCTCTTTCCTTGTAAGCATTCCCACTGGATACCACACTGATCATGCTCTTCTTTGAGACAGAGCCCTACATGCTTTTATATCTTGGGTTTGCTTCTACCTAGAGCACTTTCCCCAGGAAGGTTCACGGGTCTCTCCTGTCATTATCTAGGTCTCTGCTCAAGTGCCATCTCTTGAGAAGTATAACATAGTGGTTAGGAAATAGACTCTGCAGTAGACTCACTTGGTTTAAATTATAATCTCAACACTTAGCATCTGTGAGGGCTTGACAAAATTTCTTTTCTTCCTTTGGTCATAATGAATTCAGAGCCAAGACAAACGTTAGGAGAAAGTTTATTTAGAAAATCACAGAAGACTGTAGAAGAAATGGGCTCAGGAAACAGGCAAAAGAAGGCCACTTGGAGCTTCGGAGAAAGAGCCTGGAAGGAAAGGGTGGGGAAAGCCAAGGCCATGCTCCATAAGAGAACTGCCAATTAATTTCTTTGTGCCTCATTTCCCACATACATAAAATCAGAATGATGTGGTACCTACTTCACAAGTTGTCACAAAGATTGAGTTAATATGTATAAAGGGCTTAAAAGTGTTGCATTCATCTGCCCAGCACGGAAGCTTGAAATGAAGGACTGCCTTGAAATTAATTGTATTCTTAGTAAATGACTAATTCAATGCATTATATTTGTTTTCTAGAACCAAAAAAGCTATACAACATGAATGTGGTCTCTTAAAAATTCTACAACAGAGACCTTATATCTGCCTACTTTCTGATGCCTTATATCTGCTTTTCCTGATTCCTTGACACCTGCCATTGGTTTGTTGTCAAATGGTGAAATGTGTAAAATACTACTACGTGTAAAGGGAAACATTTTAAACCCAGAAGTTAATGTTGGTTTCGCATGTCTAGTATTTATTTATTCATCCAGTAATATATATTGAACATTTACCATGGCTGACATTTACCATCTGGCAAAAGTAACTTTATGTGTTCCTTTTCTAAAAGAAGAAGCAGAAATTTATAGGCAACATAGGTGCCGATTCTGCTCCCAAGTATTCTGCGCCAGCATTGCAGAAGACACACTTTCATCTCAAAGTCAAAGTGAAGACCTCTCCCTAGTTACTGAGTAGAATGGATATGCTATAAGACCCAGAGCTGTTGCCCAGAGAGCTGCGTCAGAGAATAGAACCCTGCTTATCCACAGAACTTTCATTTCCCCCCTGATGTACCTTCTCCCAATATCACAGATTCCTTCTATAATTCTTCATCAATTGCCCCATGGGTCAAAACTTTCTCTGAGTAAAAATCCTGTTGCCCCTGCCTCCAGGCATTTCTAAATACACCTACCTGGCCAAATGTTCTGACACACCAAGGTCTCAGGACCACAGTGACAGAAAGGACCTCAGTTCCCAAAGAAAGTCTAGCTCCCAGAGAAGTTGTTAGCCACTGTGTGCACATGGGGCAGCATTTCTCCACCTCCATTGGTTGGGATCATTTTGTTGTTGTTGTTTAAACATTTGGTATTTATGGAGCAAGGAATTTCCTCTTTGATAGTAAATCAATTATAGATAAAGAAGAAATGGTATCTATATCTCTTGGGGCTCCCACCCCCAACTTGTAATTTTTAGCATATTGAAGGTAGAGGCAGAACTGAAATGAGTGTCTCCAAGGACCAGTGCATTAAAATAATCATAACAAATCTACAGGCTGTTTAAGAGGAAACCCAAGGGCCATGCTCTTCCCATGATCTTTATACACAATTCTCATCATTGGTAATGGGAATTTCCTCACAGATCTCAGGAGGAAGTGACTCTAATTACACTCTTTTGATAATTGATGCACAGATTCAAGTTTAAGTTCATGAAAATCTTAATCAGCCTTTAACTTCAGATCAAAACATCACATTAAAGGTCAATTGTATTTTTTATTATTTATGACTTCATTAAGTCTTTTTTGCAATTTTGTCACCGTTCTCATGAAGATTTTCTTGTCTGTCCTTCACCAACTCTAATATCCTCTGGGGCAATTAAATTAAGCTATAACTCTGCACAGTGTTTACTTTAATCACTTGAATAAACAAAAATATTAAGGCTGGATT